TAAATAAACTCGATGCCCTCGTACTTCACACTCCCGATCCTGGTCTCGGGCAGGAGTAAGCGCCCATCCAGCGTGAAGGCCATGATGTAGCTGGCGATCTTGCCGTTGTCCTCTTCTGATTTCAGCGCCACGATGATCTGGTCATCTGTGTCTGGGATGAACTTGAAGGAGGAGAAGCCATGGGTGGGAACCACCTCGCCCACATGCCCCACTGTCACGTCCCCGAAGTCCTGGGTGGAGCTCAGCAGCAGGTTGGTGCCTCGCCGCTCGTCCGCCCTCTCGCTGTAGCGCTCGTGGCTGGCGCGGCGCGGCAGGAAGAACCAGCGCTGCAGCGTGTCGCTCCAGGAGGCCGACTCGTGGATCAGGTACCCTGCGGCAGGAAGTGGGGTGTGACCGCATGGGGCACACGGGCACCGGCCGGGCTGGGGCGGGACCCTCTGCCACCCCCTCCATTCCCCCTCCAAAACACTTCACAGGTTGCAGCCCTGCACAGGCAGCCCCTGTGAACATTTCTGCCTCCTTCTGCCCCACTGCTCAGCAGCAACATCTCAGTCCCTTCCAGAGCCTGACAGGGGCACCTGGCACAGCTCACTCTGCCCAGGGGCCTGGCTGCCAGCCCAGTGTCAGCTGAGCCACCCCAGCTGCTTGTGGCACACTCAGGAGAGGGAAATAGCCAGGGCAGGGGAAGGCTCTGGCCTCTGTGCCAGGACACAGGGAGGTCTCTGACTGCCAATGGCCTTTTAATCTCACCCAGTATAATACAGTCCCAGTATCCCTAGGGAGGGTGACCGGCCCTGGAGCTGTCAAGGGTGTGGGATATGGGGTGGCAGGAGGTTGTGCCCGCTCCATACCTGGGGGTCGGATCCCTGCTGCAGCCCTCAGGGCATTGTAGTTTGCCACCCAGTTCTCGTGGCTCACGTCGCCCTTGTAGCCGATGACCTTCACCCACAGGGGGTTCTCGTTCACCACCTCCCCCGTCGTGGTGGTCCACTCCTTGCCCAGTCCCCCCACGTACAGGTGCTCGTCCTTCACCGCCAGCCACTCTGCCTTGAAGCCTGCGGTGGAGAGAATGGCTTGAGGGGGGCTTGGCCAGCACAAGGGCATCAGAGTGGCCCCACACCCTGAACACCACACCCTAGAGCCCAGTGCTGGGCACAGTGTCCCCCACGCAGCTGGCCCCTGGGCAGGAATTGCCCCCATCCTGGCCAGGCACAGGGGTCACAGGAAAGGTGCACCCCACCTCAACAAGCCGAAAAGAGCTTCACTGCTCTGCATCCACAGGGCAGGACAGGAGCTCACCTTTCCCCACGGTGCCGTCCCCATCTGGGAGGATCACCCAGGGCACCACCTTGTTGCCCTCAATCTGGTAGACCACGCCGGTCCGGTCGTCCACGGCGTACAGCTTCCCGTTGAAAACCACCAACTCAGAGAGCTCCATGCCCCGGCCCTTCTCAGCCAGGTGGGACTGCAGCATGGTCTCGTCCTTGTCCCACTCCACTGTCACGCTGTCCCCACTGTCTGACAGCACCAGGTAACCCTTCTTCAGGTAACTGAACCAGGTGTGGTCCTGGGAGCCCCGGGACTGCGTGTCCAGGTCCGCGATGACAGCGATGCGGTAGCGCATGCCCTCGGGGTTTCTCTGGGGGGGGGACAGCGGGTAGGTGTCATTGTAGCGGTCCCCTGCCCGCAGGCTGAGCTGCCAGGTCCGAGGGCTGGGGGGGCCATGTCGTGCTGGGGAGGAGCGGTGCAGGCAGAGGAGCAGCAGCACGAACCCCACACAGGCTGAGGACAGCACGATGGCCTTCCAGCGCAGTCGGAAGCGGGGGTCAGCACCCTTGGTCATGGACGCGAGGACAGGCAGACCACCCACGCTGATCCGGAGGGGGCTCATAGACTCATGGCAGGGCGGGACTGGCATTAGAGTGGGGGCAAGGAGAACCTAGTGGAAAGAGGGGAGGGAGAAAGTCAGACTGCTGGAGCTGGCACAAACTGAGCTTGGGGGGTGGCAGGACACAACCATGAGGGGCCCTATCCCCCCTCCTGTAGCAGGAGAAGGTACTCCCACCTCATGCGTGTAGGAGCCACCACACCCAGGGGCTGTTTGCTGCTGGAACCACTCTCAGCTCCTCTCACCTAGCCCCCACACCACCTTAAACCAAATGAGCCCCAGTGCATTGGCAGGAACACACGACCTGCCCAGCACCTTTACCTGGCCCAGGGTTACTGCAGCCCAGGCAGCAAGCCAAGGCACCCAGCTCAGGGTGAGCCCTGTATCGGGGTGTCCTGAGGCACGTCCCCACACAGCCCCAGGAGTGAGTGGGTTCCCCTCTGGTGGCGAGGATGACCTTTGCTGCCTCCGGGGAGGCTGGTTGGCCTGGCCCAGCTCCCGCAGCCCTGGGAACAGGCCCCACTGGTGAGGGCTGAGTGCGTCCCCAGGCTCCACAGGGACACCTTGAGACACGTGGCAGCTCCGCCCGAGCAGGATGTCAACACCTGAGCAGGAAGCACAGCACAGGGCACACACCCTGACCTGCTCAGTCTTAAGAGACACAGCAGACCCCCACCCCTGCCCACACTCACAGTGTATATCCCTCCGGGCATGTGGGCACTACAAGCCCACCCCAGACTGTGCCCACCCGCGGGGACGGGGTGCTGGCAGTTCTCCTCACTGCCACCTCCCTCCCTGCAGCACAGTGGACGTTGCAGTGGCCTGGACTCCTGCAGAGGGGCACCCCGGGCTGAGCAGGGGGCAAGAAGCCCCCAAGACCGGATCCACGCTTGTTCCGCGCCATGCAGCCTGGGGCAGAGACCCCCCAGCTCACGGCAGGGAAAGGGGTCCCCAGCTGCCATCCCAGGGCTGTCCCCAGCGGGTCCGTCCGTGTCCCCACGCCCGGAGCTGGGCTCGGGTCGTGCTCCCCGCAGGGTCTCAATGTGCCTTTCAGCAGACCGAGCGGAGAACAGAGCCGGCATTGAGCGTGGGGGGCCGACCCCGGGCAGGGAGGCTCCGGCGCGGCGGGCACGGAGAGCCCGCGGGGTGGCTGCTCGGCCCGGGACCCCGCTGGGGCGAGGGGGGGAGCGCCCCTCGCCCTGCCGGACCCCGGAGCATCGCCCTCGGCACGGCCTCGGGACCCCCCAAAACCCCGGGCGACGGTCACAGGCACCCCTCTGGGCACGGACACGGGGACCAACCCAACACCCCCGGCAGGGACACGGGATCCCCTCACAAGGACACGGGGACCCCCCATCTCCGCCGAGCGCGCCCTTGGGGACCCTCGCGCTTCTTCCCGGGCAAGCTACCGGACTGAGCGGGGCCCTGAAGTCCCCGGCGCCCTCCGCGCGGGGCACAGCCCCGGAGACCCCGCCGCTCCCGCCCGGGCAGGGCGCTCGGGGCCCGCGGTGGGGACCCCCGGCTGCCGGCCCGGCGCCCCCCGCCCGTGTCCCCGCTCACCGCGGCGCCGCCGCTCCCCCGCCGCGCGCAGCCGCCGCCGCCACCGCCTACAGCTCCCGGCGGCCCCGCGCGCCGCCGCCGCGACCGGGAGAGACCAGACCTCCGCGTCCGCGAGAGGACTACAACTCCCAGAAGCCCCCACGCAGCACAGACCGCCCGCCGCGCCGCGGGGGCTGCCGGGAGCTGTAGTCCGCGCCGGGCCGGGCCCCGCCAGGCCGGGTGTCGCACGCGGGAGGATGGAGCCCAGCGGCGGGGGCCGAGCCGGCCCTGCGGGGTGGGCACAGCCCGGCTGCCAGGAGGGCATGACCTCGCTGCAGTCCCCGGTGCAGCCCGGCCCCAGCCTGCAGCAGGTTCTGTCGCTGTGCCGGCTGTCCCCGGTGTCCCTCTGCCACTGGGGTGTGGGGAGCGGGACAGACCCAGCCCTGCGGTGTGGGACCCGTTTGCGTGTCCGACCGCCAAAAGCTGGTTCCCGGTGGGGCTGTGCTGGCCCCGGTGCCCTCGGGGCTGAGAATGGCCGGCGACGCTCCCGGCATGGGGCAGGGTCCTGCCTCGGGGCCACCGGCACCCGCCGGGGCCCGCCCCGTCCGTGGCGCGGGCGCGGTGCGGCGGCCCCGGGAGCACACACGGTTAACTCGGCCGGTCCCGGGAGCACACACGGTTAATTCGGCCGGTTCCGGGAGCACACATGGTTTATTCGGCCTGTCCCGGGAGCACACACGGTTAATTCGGCCGGTCCCGGGAGCACACATGGTTAAGGCGGCCGCGGGCGCACATCTGGCGGGGGAGGGCTGTGAGCCTCGTCCCGCGCCTGGCTGCCTCCTGCGCTTCCAAAAAGTGCATTTCCGCCCGGGCCGAGCGAGGAGAAGGCTCCGGAGCGGGAGGCACCGATCGGCCGCGGGCAGGCTCTGCTCCGGCCCGGGGGATGCTCTAGGGCAGCAAAGGCAGCGCCGGGAGGGAGCAGCCCTGCCCCAGAGGTACGTGGGGGGCAGGTTTTGGGGAGCTCTGCAGGCCTGGGCACCAGGCCCAGAGCTGCACTGTGTTATGCTCACTGTGGCTGCTGCGGCATCCCTGCGGAGACACCCGAAGGCGGCTCCGCCTCGCCAGGGTCGCCAGGATCTCGGATGCCCTGGGGCAGGTCCAGCGAGGGGCACCGGTCCGTGTGCCCCACCTCCGCCCAGTGAGGCTGGCCCCTCCCCAGCATTTCTGTAGGGGACACATTGGCTGTTGGGGTCCCCTGCACAACATCTTACTGGTGCTGCAGGAGCTGGAAGGCTGCAACCACCCCGCGCAGCCCCCGCACTGCTGCCTGCCGGGTCTGCACTGCTTCAGGGGGGAAAAAAGGGCTCTGCAACTATTCCAGCTGCTGCAGCAGAATGTGGGGGTCCTGTCCCACCAGCACGACCCCAGAGGCATCCCAGCTCCAGCTGCTGTGGAGCAGGGAAGTCTGTGTTCACCACTCTGAGTGGAGGGACAAGCAGGGGGTGCAGGTCCTGCTGCCTACATGCCACCCTGAGCCCCTTGTTCCTCCCTCAGGGTTTGTTCTGTTTCATCCTGCTCTTTATCTCTACCTGTAATGTATTTTGGGATGTTTTGACTTGCAGTCCCAAGGCTTCCGCAGCCACTGAGTTTAAATCTCCAACCGTTCCTGGAGAGCATCCAACCCTGACGGGAAAAACCGCGTCCCTTGGCAGGGCTGTGTGTGCCCACACGCACGTGAGCACCTCCCACCCGGCACACCTGTGGGGTACAGGGGGGACGTGCTGGGGGCCCAGAGAGCCCCAAGTGCCCTGTGTGTGCCACATGTTTGCCTCCATTCCCAACAGCCTGGGAAGCACTGTCTGGTGCTTCCTGGTGAAGTTTCTCCTCACAGAGCAGCTCCCTGGGACACTGTGTTTTCCCCAGGGCTGAGCCTGCTCTGGGTCCTGGGGGAACGTCTGGTTTCATGGTCTCAGAGCTGAGGGAAATCCACAGGCTTTCCAAACTCCTGGCATGCTCCATGCCATGCTCAGCGGCTCAAGGCTAGGCAGGGTGAGCAGAGCCAGGGCCAAGCTGGGTGATACCTGCTTATGAGCCCCTACTTGGCCTTCTCCATGCTTCTATCCATGAATCTGCCTCTCCCCTGCCTCAGAGCTGAGTGCCCACAGCCCTGCCTCTCCCCACACCCGGCAGCACCAAGACATGGGCCAAGATAATGGGGTAAGAGATGGTGGGACAGAGGGGCCCAGGAACCGCGCGAAGGGGTGAGGCACTTAGCAGAGGGTGCAAGCAGTGGGAAAAGCCCTTTGGAGCTTTTCCCTATCCCTTCGCCCCTTCCCGGTTCCAGTGACTCATGATCCAGTCATCCGCCCTGGCCTCGAACGCCCTCCGCACCCACTGCGGGAGCACACACAGTCCCCCGACCCCCGGCTTGGGAACAAGAGTAACAGCCACCCAATACCAACTGAGGGCCCCGGTGCTCCGAGAACGGGCATTCACCAAAACAACAGGATTCTGCCCCAAAATCCTTCCTAGCCTCGCCCACCCCCAGGACATAGGGCAGGGCAGGGCTGCGCAGGCCCTTCACCCCTTGGGCCGGTGCTCTGGGATCCTGTCAGAGCTGTGGAGCATGGCTGGGTGGTGCCGGGGGAGGCCGCTTGGGAGGGGAGAACGGCAAAGGCCGCACCCAGTCCCAACCCAGGGAGGTGCCTGGCTAAGACAGGAGACTGGGGAGCAGCCAACCCCATCCCAGCCCAGCACCGCCTCAGACCCTGCTGCCGCGGGATGCCAAGCGCTGGGCAGTGCCACACACCTGTTTGGCCAAGGCTCGGGGCCTGGCGCCTCGGGGCCAAAGGACAAGGTGCTGCGTGCCTGGCCCCACGTCTCCATCAGATATGGCTGCGATAAGGCAGGGAAGGGCCATGGAGGGCCCGGGCTGGGCCACGGTACCACCACCACTGCAAATATTTGTTTTGGCCCCACATAGGATGTGGTCTCCCAGGAAGGTTTCTCCCTGTGGTAGCCAGCTCTGAGCTGGGGCTGCCAGCCCACATCCATGTCTCTGGAGAAGTGGTTCTTGTGCCCTTGCAAACCCTTTGGCTAGCAGCCCCTGGGGCACAGGAGCCCCCTGCAGAGCCTGTGCAGCCTGTGCTGCATCCTTGCAGGAGTGGGGATGCAGATATGCTCCCCAGACAGGGCTGGAGTCCCCCACACAGGCAGGGCTGCACGCTGACATTTGCCTCGTGGCATCTGGAGCTGCCTGTAATTTTTCAGGTGCTGACACCCTAAATTGCTGCTCTTGGGCATTCATGGGAGGCAGCTGAAGCCAGGCTGAGCAGGAGCAGTAGCACTCGGCCCAGGATTTGGCTGGTCATCCAGAGCCTGCTGCTCTGCTCCACCCTCAGCTCTCCAGGTAATCCCCTCTGCTGCGTGTGCCAGGACTTGGGAGACTGCATGGTCCTGGCCCACATGTTGGTGAGCCCAGAGCCTCCACACTGCCCCAATGTGGGTCTCCCCAGGTGCTCACTGGGGTGACAGTGTGTCCCACAGTCCAGCCAGAAGCCTAGGACTGTGCAGTGCACAGGTCCTGTCCCAGGACAATGCAGGGCATGGTTGGGCTGGGCATCTCCACACTCCTGTCCCCCTCAGCTGTCCCTGGCACCTCACAGGGCACTGCCAAGGCATGGAGGGGCTGTGGGTGCACGGTGTCCTGCTGCTCTGCCTGCTGCTGTCCTGCCCTGTGGGGAGCCAGACTGGACCCAGTCCCGACCAGCAGTGGTGGACAGATGCTGAAGAGGCCCCAGCCCGGCACCAAGCTGCCAGGTGAGGGGACCCCAGGGCCAGGGCACTGCAAAATGGGGGCCAAGGCAGCCTTGGTGCCGCAGAGGGCCCCCGCCCCCTCCGTAGCTCCCTGTTGGGCTTTGCTTTCTGCCTTGCCAGGGCCACACGGGAGCAGAAGGCTGATGGTGCCCAGGAGGGGCTGCCCCCACGGCCCCGCTGTGTCCGCTGCTGCCCCCCACCCGACCAGTACCAGCCTCTGCCTCAGATCAACATGACCATCCTGAAAGGTGAGGGCTAGTAGGACCCCACTCTGTGTGCCCCACAACTGGGTTCCCAGTGCCAGCTCTTGCACAGACTGGGAGCAAGAACCTGGGGTGGTACCTGTGGTCCAGTACCCTGCATGAGCAGAGGGCAAGAGCCACGCCAGGGTGTGAGCAGCCACTGCTCTGGTGGCCTCTGGGCAGCAGCATCAGGGGAGGGGGGTAGGGGCAGGGCAGGACTGGGACATGCCTGCTCCCTCCATCCTTCTCTGTAAGGCAGACAGGCTTTCAGGGTGTGGGTTCAGTGCTGGCCCTCGCCTGACAGTCCAGCTCTCCCTCCTGCTCTGCCCAGGGGAGAAGGGGGACCGTGGCGAGCGTGGCATCCAGGGCAAGTTTGGCAAGACGGGGGTGGCCGGCAGCAGGGGCCACGCAGGGCCCAAGGGACAGAAGGGCAGCATGGGCGCCCCGGGGGAGCGCTGCAAGAGCCACTATGCCGCCTTCTCGGTGGGCCGCAAGAAACCCCTGCACAGCAATGACTACTACCAGACCCTCATCTTCGACACGGAGTTTGTCAACCTCTACAGCCACTTCAACATGTTCACGGGCAAGTTTTACTGCTATGTCCCTGGGATCTACTACTTCAGCCTCAATGTGCACACCTGGAACCAGAAGGAGACCTACCTGCACATCATGCACAACGGGGCAGAGGTAGTGATCCTCTACGCCCAGGTGAGTGACCGCAGCATCATGCAGAGCCAGAGCGTCATGCTGGAGCTGCGGGAGCAGGACGAGGTCTGGGTGCGGCTCTACAAGGGCGAGCGTGAGAACGCTGTCTTCAGCGATGAGTATGACACTTACATCACCTTCAGTGGCCACCTCATCAAGTACAGTGGAGACCCCTGAACACCAGCCCCCCCCAACTCCTTCTGCACCAGGCCGGGTGGCCAAGGAGCCCCTGTGCCCTCTCATCCTGGGCATGCCACCCCCATTATGCTGTTAGCCACCCACCCTTCTGCTACTACCCTCAGCACCTGCCTCAGTGTGTGAATTCCCCCACTCCAGCTTCTTGAGACTGATCAGATGCACCTGGCGGAGCTGGAGCCATTTCCAGCCTCTGCCACATTTGTGGCTGGGAAGCAGCTGCTCACCTGGGGTGGGCAGGGAGCTCCTTCCACCTGCTCCATAGCCGGGTTTGCTGGGCAGAGCCCCCTGTGGCACTGGCTGAGCTGGCACCAGGGGAACAGCATGACTGCTGGTGCCCTGGTGCAAGCCAGCGCAGACACGTGCACTGTGTTCCTCCCTCCATGCACCATGCTGTGTTCCCTGCCTCGAATGGGCAGAAGGTGCTCAGCACCATCAGGAAAAGCAATGAACCACTAAGGGCCCCCTTTCCTTCTGCAGAGCTGGGGGCCAGTGGGGCAGGCGTCGCAGCATGGGGCTGGGTGGGAATGGATTGCATCAGTTCCCTCTGCAGGTCCCGTCACTGCTCGCCACAGCCTCTGCTGGGGAGGGGCTGGCTCCCCACCGGCAGCCCTGACAGAACCTTTGGCCTCAGCCACTTCCTCTTCCGTTAGATTATCTGATGGCCAGGCTTCTTGTTTGTGTAGATGCCGCAGTGGTGTGGGGCAGCATTCTGACCTCCCTGTACAGCTCATGCTACATTAAACACCCCACGTTTCCAGCCTTGCTCACATCCTCAGTGTCCTCTTGCTTTGTGTGTATGGAGGCTCCAAAGGGCTCACGACAGGTTTCTGCTTCTGGAGTGCTGGGGCTTCCCGAGAGCTGTGGGCTGGTACAGTGCTGTCGGGCTGGGAGTGGAGAGGGAAGGGCAGACTGTCCCTAGAGAGACAGGGATCCTGTGCTGGGTCTGCACGGGATCGGCTGTGTCCTGAGGGCTGGGAGCTGAGCACAGTGACAGAACTGTCAGCCTGGGAACAGGGCAGGCTGGGGAGGGTTGCCAAGAGTCCAGATCATCCGGCCACAGAGAGGAGTCAGGTCTGAGGTGAAGCTGGGAGTCAGGGTCTGGAAGGGCAGGTCCATGGCTGGGCTGATCAGGGCTGCAGCTGGAGACCAGCACCTCAAGCACATCAGACAGAGGAGTGGGGGCTCAGGCTGAACTCAAATAGAGCCCTGGCACCACGGGTGGGGAGGTGGGGGATGGAGGATGTCCAGGTGAGGCTGGTCAGGGCATCCACTGCTGTGCCTGTGTGGTGTGGGCAGCAGGGCCCCAGCCCAGTCCCATGGCAGGGCCAAAGCCTCCTGGCAGCACCAGCCCCTCAGGACCAGCTACCATCTCCATCCCAGTCTGCACAGCAGGGTCTGCTATGGGACACAGTTTGCATCCCAGCACACAGATCCTATCCTGGGACACATGTTCTATCTCAGGACACACAGCCCGGTCCCAGCACAGATGTCTCATCCTGGGAGACACATCCCCATCCTGGGACACATGGCCCCTCATCCCAGCACACTTGTGCCATCCCAGGTCGCATGTCCTATCCCAGAACATAAAGTCCACCCAGAGACATGTGGTTCCATCCCAGGACATGTATCCCATCCCAGGACATGTATCCCATCCCAGGACACACGTCCTATCCCAGCATACATGTCCCATCGCGGGAGACACGTCCCCATCCCAGGACTCACACCCCTGTTCCAGGACCCGCGGTGCATCCCAGGACACGTCCCGCCCCGTGGCTCGCGGGCGGTGCCGGGGGCGATGCGGGGCCGGCGAGGGCGGAGCTCCGGGGCCGCGCCCCCGGGAAAGCCGGGCCCGGTGGCGGCGGCGCCGCGGTCAGTGCGGCAGCGGCGGCGGCAGCAGCGCCATGGCGGAGGCGCCGGAGGGGCCCGGGCGGCGTGGGAAGAGGACGGGAACCGACTCCGGGGCAGAGGAGCCGGCGGAGGCGGAGCGGGCCGGGCGGCGGCGGCGGAGGTGGATGGCGGGGGCCGGGGCCGCGATCGGGACCGGGGTCGGTGCTGTGATCAAGACCGGGACCCAGACCGGGGCCAGGACGGGGACCAGGATGGGAATCGGGACCAGGACTAGGATGGGCACCGGGGTGGGGATCGGGCCGGGATGGGAATCGGAGCCGGGGCGGGGACCGAGACTAGGAGCGGAATGAGGTTCAAGATCAGGACCAGAATGGGGATGGGGACCGGGATAGGGATCGGGACCGGGATGGGGACCGGTGCCCGGGCTCGCGGGGCCCCGGAGGGCGCTGACCGCGGTGCTGGTCCGGCCCGGCACTTACCCCCATCCCGGGGCAGCATCCAGCCGGCGGCGGAGACCCTGGGAACCACCGTCCTGCACGACACCATCAATGACCGCCCGCAGCCCCTGCCAGGTGAGGCACCGTGAGAGGGGCCCGCTGCACCGCTGGGGCCCTGCCGGGATGAGGACAGTCTGATGCCAGTGCCGGTGGCGAGCTGCTCAGGCAGTGCTCTCTGCTGACCCTGTCCCGTCTCCCCACCGCCCCCAGCGAGGTACTTCGACACGAAGACGACAGAGCCCATCAGCTTCTTCTTGTCTGGCCTGGAAGAGCTGCTGGCCTGGCAGCCCAACAGCAACGACGACTTCAACATCTCGGCCGTGCCGCTGGCCAAACGCCAGCCCCCACTCCACAGCAGGAGGCCCCGGACGCTGGTGTGCCATGACATGCGTGGCGGGTACCTGGAGGACAGGTACGTGCTGGGTGGAGGGGAGATGCAGTAGCGGGGCTTGATGTCTCAACCCCCAAACCGCTTCTGTTTCTGGATGATGTTTCCTTCTGGCTCAGCCACAGGTGGGCAGGGATAGGGCATTTGGCTTTTGATGCCAGTGCTCAGCAGCCTTGCTCAGGCTGGGATGTTCAGGGCTGGGTCAGAGCCACAGCTGTGCACAGCTCTCAGGTGTGAGTCAGGTTCCTACCCAGCCCTGCAGCATCTGCCAGCGTCCTTCCTACACTGCCCAACCCTCTTTTCTCTCTGCAGGTTCATCCAGGGCTCAGCCACACGCAACCCCTACGTCTTCTACCATTGGCGCTACATCGACATCTTTGTCTACTTCAGTCACCACACTGTCACCATCCCGCCCGTGGTCTGGACCAACGCGGCACACCGGAACGGCGTCCCCGTGCTGGGTGAGGGCAGGGCTGAGCCTGGGGCAGCCCCGGGCGTGCAGTGGGTTCACTGGGGCATGTGGCTGATGCTGCCCTTGCCGTCACCCCAGGCACATTCATCACGGAGTGGACGGACGGGGAGAAGATGTGTGAGGCGTTCCTGGCTGGCGGGGAGGAGGCGTTCGGTGCCGTGGCCGAGCAGCTGGCCCGCATCGCCCAGCACTACCGCTTCGATGGCTGGCTGGTCAACATCGAGAACACGCTGAGCGTAAGTCATGGTGGCCCTACTCACCTCCCTGCCTTCCTCCTGCTCACCTCCCTGCCTTCCCCCTGCTCACCTCCCTGCCTTCCCCCTGCTCACCTTCCTGCCTTCCCCCTGCTCACCTCCCTGCCTTCCCTGCCCACCTCCCTGCCTTCGTATTTCACCCATAGGGAGACCCCATCCCACACCCTTCACCCACCTCTCCCTGCTCTCTCCTGCCAGGCAGCAGCAGTGGGGAACCTGCCCCCCTTCCTGCGGGACCTGACGGCACGGGTGCACAGCGCTGTGCCAGGGGGGCTGGTGATCTGGTACGACAGCGTCCTGCAGGATGGCACGCTGAGGTGGCAGAATGAGCTGAATGAGGACAACAGGTGAGGTCGGCAAAATTGAACCTGGGTGGGGGGCGTGAGCCCACCCCAAACCCTGTGCAGGAGTAGTCAGGGCATGACCTGTGCAGCCCTCAGTGTGGGGGGGTGTTTGTGAGGACAGCCACAGCAACTACCCTGCCACCCTGACCCTCATCCCCAGGGTGTTCTTCGATGCCTGTGATGGGCTGTTCACCAACTACAACTGGAAGGAGAAGCAGCTGGAGCACACACTCAGGCTGGCCGGGCCACGCCACGCTGACGTTTATGTTGGTGTCGATGTCTTTGCCCGTGGGGACGTAATCGGTGGTGGCTTCGACACTGACAAGGTGAGTGTGACAGGGCTGGGCCAGAATGGGACCTTGGACCTCCCCTGGTGCAGGGCTCTGAGCTCCCACCAATGGCTGTGCCATGCCCTGTTGGGCTGCTTATCTGGGGATGAACTGGTGAGGAGTAGGGGATCCCAGAGCTCCTGGACATGCATGGAGAGGGAGCTGAGGGTTCCCCAAGCTGCCATCCCTGGAGAGGGAGATGCCACAGCACATTCCCACAGTGTTCTGCCTCACCACGGGGCCAGTGGGATCTGGGGGAGCAGGGACAAGACAGGTGACAAAGTGACTACGTGGTCTGGCCTGTGCTGCTCACCACTCATCTCTGCAGTCCCTGCGCCTGATCCGCCAGCACAGCCTCTCCGCAGCCATCTTCGCTCCCGGCTGGGTCTATGAGCACCTGGGGGAGGAAAACTTCCTGCAGAACGAGAATAGGTGAGAGCAGCTCGGCAGAAGGTTGTGGAGGAACGGGGCTGGGCCAGGAGGACTGTGGGGCGGCAGGAACAGGGCTACCAGGACACCGTGCCTGCCAGGGCACTGTGGCTGGCACATGGGCTGCTCTAGGCCATACAGGGCAGCAACTATAGCAGGGGGCTCTGCCCTGACACCCACCTTTGCCTCCAGGTTCTGGGGCTTGCTGGCTGAGTACTTGCCCACACACAGCATCTGCACACTGCCCCTCGCCACCTCCTTCAGCCTGGGCATGGGCACCAGCAGGTTCCTGGATGGAAAGGTAGGTGCAGGGTGACAGCTCTGGTCTGGCTGGACTGGGTTGGGATGGGCAGGGGGTCCCTGCTCTTGGCTCCCCCAGCCCAGCTCTCCCTGTGCTGCAGGACGAAGAGTCTGGGCCCTGGTATGACCTGAGCATGCAGGAGATCCAGCCCCTGTACCCAGAACACCAGGGCAGGCTGAGCACCAGCTGCTGCCTGCAGGACGCCTGGTGTGGGGGCAGCTCCCTGAGGCTCCAGGGGACCATTCCCCCCGGCGAGGAGCGCGTGGCCATCCGGTGAGTTGGGGCAAAGCCCTTTGCCCCCTCCTCAGCACCAGGCTGGCACCATGTTGGCACAGCACAGCCAGCATGGCCCAAGCTGTGCGGCCCCAGGGCCTCATGGCAAGTGAGCTGGGGCTCTGCCCACACTGCCCAGCACACCTAACCCAATGTATCTTTGTTTCTCTCTCTGTCTCTGTCTCTCTGTCTCTCTCTCTGGGTGGATTTGGGGTCATCAGCCTCTTCTCTTTGCAGATGCCGGCACCCCCCAAGCTCTTCTTGACCCTGCTCTACAAGCTGGAGGGGCCGCAGTCTGATGACTTTGTGGTGGCACTGGAGGTCACCACCTGGGACTCAGGGACCTGCCTTGAGGGCAACCCCACCTCCCTGCCTGGTGAGGACCCCATCTCGCCATGCTCTCTGCAGTGAGCACCACCTCAGTCCCCTGCCCCCTGACCTGGCTCCCTCTTGCAGAGCCCAATGGTCGGTATCACCCCCGGTTCCTCCCGGCTCCACCGCCTGGACTTGCCAAGCTGCTTGCTGCCTGCCACCGTGGCTCCCATGGCTGGACCAGCCGGTGAGTGCCCTGCCTGCATCCTGTCCCCACAGGCAGGCATGAGACCCCGTGGCTCCCTGGTACAATTCCTGCTCT